CTTAGAATTTAATTCCTGATTCGTAAAAATTGTATGCTGATGTGAATGATCAGTAATATTTAATTAGAATATAGTTTTAGGTTGCTAAAATTTCACCTTCTTTTGAGCAACACATTCTAACACTTCTCATTTAGCTTCTGACTACAGATAAAGAACCAGATCAATTAATCCCAAGGTCTGCAATTGTTCACAAAGTGTTTGAAAAAAAAAATGCATTATTTTCCCTTAAACTGTGGTTTGCACAGGAAAATAATGTACTTCCATTTCTCACACAGGCAACTAATGGATTTAGAAGAATTCATAAATAAAAGATGCTAACATACTCTTCTGCACTGTCTAGCAACACTGCACTTTAATGCACTTTGTCAACAGTTTTATTTAACTCTCTTCCACTTTTCCTTATGGTCTCTATCAATGATGGCATTTACTGACAGCTCCTTAAAGTATAATCTGTGCAACTGACTCATCTAACAGGTCAAAGAAGTGGGGTCTGCACAGAAATATTACTTAGTATCTGTTTTCATGATGCAAAGATTTTTCCAGGATGAGGTTTGCTTTATGCACAGACGGCTGCAACCATGAGCAAAGCAGACTCTTTTGGGGTCTCCATTCCTCATTTGTGCTCCCTGAGTGAAATCCGTCACCAGAGTCTCAGGATGATCTGAGCTGATACATGTTTTCACAAGGTGCTTTTCTTCCACCAGGAGTCAAACTACTACCTATTTTCCCTTCTCAACAACAGGCATCCTGAATTCCTGGGCAATTCTATATGGTACCACCTTTAACAAGTGTCCCTAAAGAGCACCAAGTCCTAGGGACTGCTCAAGTCCACTGCACACAACTGGTTCTAATTCTGTTGTACCATCAGTCTAATTTTGGATCTATCAAGGCAGAAATCTAAAATAAAATAAAACATTTAACACCTTGAGGAACTGCACAAGTCAGCAGCTGTTCCATGCCTATATAAACATTTGAAATAACTAGGGACAGTGGAAGCATTTTGAGTGCATCTCATTTAGAGAAATGCCATTTCTCTTGAGTTATCTCGGCTTCCACTTCCCATCACTAAATCCAAACTAGATCTATAGATAGAGATGAAATAGTTCTGCAGTTAATGCTAGAAACTATTAATGGCAAGCCCATCATGTGACCAGAGAACATGCCTGTACAAAGACTCTGTATACAGAAAACCAATATGCAGCTGGAAAATGTCCGCAATGTGCGTGCCTTGATGCGTTCAAAACAATGACAGATTTTCCTCCAAAAAACATACGCAATTCTGAAGCGTGCAGCTGTTCACAGAAATAATAATTAGAAAACCCCTGGAGCCAGCAGTTCTGCAGTGTTGCAGGTAGGGTATTCCAGGTACCCACATATCAAACACTCAATTTCCACAATCCAATCTTTAACATATAAAGAAATCTAAAAGGGTAAGTCACAGGGCCACTGTTGCTAAATGATTACGTGATATATATATTTATATACTCAGATGCCAGAAAAGGAACTGAATGAAGTTTATCTGCAATACGCAAGTAACTGCTTTTCATTGATATTTGGCAGGTTTTTTAAGTTGGACATATAGCTGTTATGCCAAAGGTTTAAGGTGGTTTTACTGCTGAACAGCCTGCGATAAATGCACAGCTCCCTCACACATTTTATACCATAGTTGCACAATGCCGGGCATAAAAAGAAACTTGTTCCACGACGAACAGGTAAAGTTATTTTAAAAGGAAGTGTTTTAAGGTATTACGATGTACCAGACACCTGCATGGAAATGGATAAAAAGCGTTACGCATCTTTTCAACATTTGAATCTTTGTTCATATTCTGGTTTGGGTTTACCAGTTTTGAACTAAAATCTACTTCATCATTTACAAATGCTAAAGCATTACATAGAGAAAGAAAAATGTGTGCCTGCCTCTGCAACTGGTACCAATACTTAGCTCTTAATGGGAATACTGGATTCCTAATCAACAGCAAGAGTCCAGAGTAATTGCATTAAATCAGCATAACTATATTAGCTTATACCACCTGACTTGGTGTAAGATAAACACCTTGGGAACACTTAAGAAGAAAAATGTATGGGATTTTCCTCTTGCCCATTTCCTACAGTTTTATTTAAATGTATCTCACAAAGTCTGACAGCGTGTTCATATCCCAACTGAAAACGAAAAGACTACAGCCTACATTCCACCTATCAAAAATAACATTTCCCTTAGCTTTGTTCTCAAAGAACATCTACTAAACCCAGGGAAAAACTTTCAGAAGGGAAAGGTTGCTAAATAAATACCGTGAAAAGGCTGAGATTTTCCAATACAAAAAGAAAACCATAAGGTCTGTCTTGACTTTTAATGGCAGACAACCTTTGCTGCAGGCTCTTTTATTTTAAGATGACAGATTGCTGAGAAGGGTGGGGACTGGTTGGGATGAGAAAGAGACTGCAGCCAATTTTAAAAGGTATTGTTAAGAAACTAAGAATAAGGAGAGAACAACTTCAGTGGTCCATGATTACTAAAGAACGGGTTTAGCCAGATAAACAGGTCTGCTATCCCTGAAGGGATTTGAAAGAATATCACACACAACTTTATTAAAATGGATTACGTGACATTTGCTTTAGACTTTGAAGGTAAAAGCTTCACAAAAGTCCTTTAAAAAAAATTTAAACTAAAAAAATCAAAACTTATTAGTGCTGTATGAATTCACAGTTCAGGGGGATGGGATGCACAGAGGCACACTCCCTAATTTAGCCCTCTGTGCATTGAGTCCTCTGGAAATCAATAGCGAGATTCCCTAGCACTCCTGGGGGAGCTGAGCAACTTCTCAGGTTTCCCTGAGTTTGCACCCCTTTACTTTAACGTTCATTAATCGATTTAATGTTAAGTCAGAGATCTGGCTCTTAATACACACTTCAACCATATGTTAAGGCAGAGATCAGAATCAGTGCTGAAAATCTTCAATTATGAAGTGAATATTCAAGAGAGTTAAACTAATCCAAACTCTGAAATATTGCAGGTAACAGGATACGGACTCACATTCTTGCATGTAATGCACGCTTTAGACAGTTTATCCCTTCATTCACCTCCCCAGAAGACCCTTTGTATTACAGACCTGCTTAAATTCACTAGATTTTTATCTAAAACAACATTCTTGTTTTCATGAATACATCAGTTCCTTTGACCTTTGCACATCTATCCACATTTCTAGGTAAAAAAGTGAAGGCAACAATAAACATTAGTGACCCTAAGCAATATATGTTAGCAACGTGGGATGTATTTCCATGCACACACGTATTAACTTTGTAAACCCTAACGTCGTTACTACTCAAGGTGCAAAAAAGATATAAATTGATTTAAAAAAGAAGTGTTCATTTCAAATGCTGATGTAATGGTAACTTTTAGACTAAAGCTTTGCTTTTATTTCTCTTTCTAGCTATTATATAATAGTAAATGAGATATTTAAAACTGGTATTTAGTTCCTGGCTGAAGTGCGTAAGTGGAAATTGCACACTCTTAAATTTACAGATTATTTATTAAAAGGGGTTTCTACTGTCCAACACTACTCACATTTACATCCTCATGAAAATATTCCTTTCTTACTAAACTTACTGCTAATGAGTGATTACATATAAAAAGTATTTTTAATAGCGTTTGTGTTTAGTCTGTTACTAATGCAAAGCAATAATCTTTGTACAGCTGCTTTCGATTTTTCACTGTGACTGCAACACAGGTAACTTTTGTTTAACAAAAAAAAATTTCCTTAGTAACGTTTAGCCTGGAGATACTCAATTTCTTTACGATAATCTAACGATCCATTCTAAATAGCTGCTGAACAGAAAGCCTTGTTTCCATAGAGATAGTGAAACATTTTGTTAGATCACATCTCACGACAAGTTTTGTTTTGACTTCTGGTTTAAACTTACTCCTTACTTGAATGGCACAGGCATCGCACTGACAGCCTGCTTCAATAACAAAGTTGCTTGAACTGTGATTTGTGTTTTGCTCTGATTCAACGCCCATGCATAAAAAACACCAGGTTCATACTCGGTTTTAAAAACAGGAGCCGCAGCCCTCTCATTTGATTTGATACTTTTCAGTGATTTAGCATGAACAGTTCTGTTCTAAGATCCTGGCAAAGAGCGGTACTAAGCTTCCGATGTCCTAGTGGCGAGTTTTTCTCCCCGTTTCCCTCTTTCCTTTTCCCTGCCTCAGCAGGTGAATGTTTAGGAAGAGCACCTAGGGCAATTCCACCTCCCAACCACTGTCCTCTGCATGCACAGCTCCTGCACCTACGCACAAGCAACACCATCCCCAGCTCCACTCCATGCGGGCCCGAGAACGAGGACTGTCTCTGCAGCTGCAGGTGGAGTTTGATCAAGGTACAAAAAACAAGTGTGACTCACTGACACTTTTAATTGTTTCCACTTTAATGTCATTCACTGACAAAGAAAAAAAAGAAATTATGTTGTTGCTTTTTTAAAATAAGTATGTAGAACTACTTGTCTTTCAAAAAAAATAATAAAACACACTTAACGCCAAGGACGAAGTAAATGGACATTATCTTGGGAGTTTTCATGATGTTTCTGAAAAATTCTAAGATTAAAGAATTCTAAAAGGTCAAAGAGAAAAACCCAAACCAGAAAATTCCATTTACTTAGATAAATCTTTAAAAGAATACGTTTACTATGCTTAATTCATTATTCAAGGGGGAAAAGGTCTATTTTTTAACACGTTAACGGCATTTTAGATTGAAAAGACAAGTTTCCATCTGCTTTATTCTCAGCTATTGTGAGTTCCGTATTATAAAAGGTTTAACAAAACTGCATTAATAAAAGCAATTTTTCTTTTCATTGACCAATCCCTAAACATTTCTTAACTGAACTGCCAGTTTGTACCTACACGACTCTAGAGAAAACAGGGAGGAGATGGCAGACCAAACATGCTTGCTTTCTCAGAAAATGTCAGCCATGAACGAACAAGAGACAGTAAGAGAGTGAATACATACCTGTGTGAGTTCTCAGGTGTGCTTTTAAGTGAGAAGACTTTGTATAAACTTTTGTGCAGCCTAAACCAAAACAAAAAAGCAGAGAGGCTTCAGTAGGGAGAAGAGGAACACTTCACATTACATTTAAACTTCCTCAGTCAGTGTTGGGGTACTATCTGGACACATTTAAGTTTACTACTTTCTGGCATCATCTTTGTCATTTAGAAGTAAAATTTTACATAGAAAGCTCCTAGGGATATGCTGCTTTACATAGAAAAAGCACGTATGTTTCTGGCAGAGCTGCTACAATCTATGTACAGTAACACCTGCTACATAAATTAACAACTCAGTAAGGGGCTTCATCTTTTAAAAATTTCCCAGAGGACTTGATCAAGCCAGACTCGGTGTCACTGTCACCCGGGGCTCAGCGTAACTCTTCTACCGAGCACTTACCACACTGCACACCGAATGGGTGCTACACCACCCAGAGTTATGTTGCTCAGGGGGAAGAGCAACCACGAGCAGCAATCTCTCTCTGCACTACAACGAGTGTGAACATCTTGTATCTGGGATTATGTACTACATGGAGGCACAGTTTACAGTCAGGTCCCTCTTCCCCTTCAGTGTAAGAGAAGGAAAGGCTGAAGACAATCTACCGTGGGCAATTTTCAGAGATGGTTTTAATGGATTTTTGAGGGCAGCTGAATCTCCCGTTCGTAACAGGGAAGATATGGCCATGGCCTCAGCTGCTAGGAGCCGAAATTATTCTTTCGGTGCCAGAAGATTCAAACTGAGCTGTACTGCGTTGGACGAACTGAGCCTCTGCTCCACCACAGGTACTGGAAGAATGAGAGTAGGAGCTGCATAGTCACACTGACTTACATTAGCAAAGGTCATAATTTTTTTATTTTCTATAGAGTAAAAATTTTGTGACATGGTAAAATGAACTCAGTTGTTTAAGAGAACAACAAATGACATGAAGAAAACAGTATATATTATTTAAAGAATGTGAAAATGTCCCATTCGAAATAAAACAACAAAGGAGAGAAATTCTACTTTGACAAGAAACTATTTGGTTCTCCCTAGGTGTAGACAACAGCTAAAGAAAAACCACTTATACCTCATCCATGATTATTCACACTCTTTTTATTGTAAGGGCTGGGATTTTCTGGCATAGATTGCTTACCAGGATAGTCACAGTAGTGGATACGTCTTTTCTCCAAATCTGGGTTACTTCTCCTGTTGTATCTGACTGGTTGGATGTTCTGGGGGGTTATGGGCAGAGTCGCTGGTAAGTTTGGATTGTGAATCGCCAGCTTAGAAGCTATAGTTGCGGCATATGATGGAGGGGGGGTTAAATTCTGCAGCATCTCTGCTTGTCTGTCTGGACTTCCAGGCTCTGAGCTTGGGGGCGAAGGAGGGAAGTAAGTGGCCTGCTGCTGCAGAAACTGGTTTGGCATGGTGTAGCTACAGGGGGGGATACCCTGGAACTGTTTCATTGCAGTCTGTGGAACAGCCGAGGAGAGCGTGTTAAGGCCCGCCATGGCAGATGGCATGGAGACATTGTTTAGGGAGTCCATCACGGCTGCCTGAGTAGTAGTGTTGGGCATATCTAAATCCGGTGAGCTCAAGAGCTGATACAGCTGGCCTTGCTGGGGTGTGACAGAAAGATGAACATCTGGAGTTGGAAGCTCCTGCTTGATGAAAATGTTGTTCACATCAGGAGTTTGGTGGGAGCTGAAGATGCTGGTAAATTCGGGGAGGGCCTGAGTGGGAGTAGGGGCAGGGGCAGTAGTTTCGTTCTGGTGACTGAAGATGGTGACCGGCTCTGTCTTGATGTGGGTTACACAGGGTCGCTGAGATTTGTACAGGCCAGTTCTCAGATGGCTAATGTCGGGGAGGAAGACGTTCATGTTGATGCTGTAAGGCAACCCTTCGCTGTCAGTGAAAAACTGGTCTACAACCGAGGCACTGTCTCTTCTGTATTTCTTATGTTCGGGGATGACAGGAACAGGCGGGAGCTGAGGTGCCAAGTATTTCTCCATTTCACATCTTGTCTACAAAGACAAAACAGACCATAATCCACATGATTTGTTACCAACCAAGAAAGATGATGGCATGCAAGTCATGTGAGGTTTTGCAAATAAAAGGCAATACTCTTCAGCCAGCCGCAAGACATCTACAGAAGAAGTTATGAACGCTCACACTAATGAGAACCTGTCTTTTATAATCACACGCTGATCAACATCATCAAGGACAAGGAGATAAAGTCATGGCATAAGTCACTCACACATTAAGATCGATCTGATGTTTCAGCATACACAAACTTTTCATCTTTTATGCCTACAAGATAGTGCGAGGCACAGAAGTGACAGGCGCTGTGCCTAATCTGCAGATCTCCTGCTATGGAATTCACTGCTCGAGCAGGGTGACTGCCTATCTGTTTCACCCGCTTTTCTTTGAAATGCTAACTCTAAAAGCCACATCCTCAGCTGGCTATTTGAATGCTAATACTTCAAATAACGCTTATATATACGTACATATATTTCTACACTTCCAGGATTTTTCATCCATAAAAGAACAGTATTTGATTAGAAATATGACACTACAGTGTAAAGTTATTAATAATATTGAATAACAAGAAGAGGGGTTGACTGCATCAGAGTACTCTTTGTGTAAAGTGTCTCCAGGACTACACTTAAATCAGTAATAATCTGCGCAGTGTATAATTGGCTAATAGCATGATAAACATGTCCCGATCCATGCCTCAGTCCTCGGAGAGCTCTTTAATTACTGGAAAATCATTCTCTTAGCGCAGTGGTGCGAGGGAATCCGTGGGTGGCTGGAGCCCTATACATTACTGGTGTACAGTCATCGGCAAAACATTTATCACGCACTCTCCAATGGGCAAATGCTACATTCCCCCCTGCCCTGTCAAGAGAGCGCTCATACCAGACCCGTTTAGCACCCCGCAAGAGAAAGCAGCTGACAAACAGCAACTCTGCCCGAAAGCGGATTTTAGGACCTTTCTTCAAAGACCCCCAGTAAACACCACAAACAAACGGAGCCGCCTTCCCGACTCTTTGATCTGGATCTGCCTCGACATGCCAGACTACTTTTTCTAGCTCTTGTTTACGAGCCGAGGGTAGCTCGCTTTGAAGCCGTGAGTTATTTACTCGCTGGGGAAGACACCACCGAAACGCAGCGCCCGATAGCCCG